TTATATATAGTTTACACCTAAGTTTCCATCTATATAAGTTTATACATATTTTATATGAGAAGAAATACGGGAAGGGCAGCTCTAGTTCACTTTCAGTGCATTGAATTTATGCCCAATGGTATTTGATATAACAATATGTTATGATTAATATTATTATTATTATATAATTATATTATTATTATTTGTTTTTATTATTATATTATTATTCTTATATTATATACAAATCAGAAGAAGGATTTTTGTATATATTTGCTCCTTACTAACTCCTTTTCTCATTAGATTTTCTATACAGAACGAATGCCAATTGTTTCATACTCCATTTTTCATATTATATATTTTTTGACAAATTATATACTGACATAATATTAAACATAAACTCTAGCTTGCAGTTTTTAAATATATATATATTTAATAAAATTTTACTTACAGTTTTTTCCAATTATAAAGACTTCAAAGACAATTATAAAGACACCGCTCTCACTTTATAACAGTAAAAGCATATTTTAATATTTAAATGACATTAATAATATGTATAGATTCTATTTTATTTTTTTTTAATTTATTTTTTATTAATATATTTTATTTAATTTTTTTATTTTTAATTTTTTATACTAATTTATAGTCTATGCTCTTATCTTCTCTAATATTCGCTCATGTATATTCAATTTCGCTTTATTCACTTCCCTTCCACCTTTTCATTATTTCCTTAATAAATCCCATAACAAACCCCTGCTCGAGTCTATGCTACCCCATTGACTGCCCACCTAACAACTGCTGGGTATGCGGCGAAAGGGCACAAAAGTTGAGATCAAAACTTTGTCCTTGGCATCTGAGCAGCTGGCCAGCGGCAGGTGTTGTTTGTCCGGCTGTCCGTTTATTTAGGGGTCACTGCAAAGGCGAATTACGGCCATTAGTTTGGGTCGTCAAAAGAAAAAAAAAACAGCAGCAGCAACTGTTGGCCATTGTTGTGCCCGTAGTCCGGCACAATTAACAATTGTGGCCGGGCCGAGCTTTTGCCCAGATATTTGAGTTCTTATGAGCTCACTGGGCACGTAATTGTTTAGAAAATTTGCCAGCAAATAGCTGCAGTCCAGGTGGGACTCCAGGCGGCGGCAGAGTGTGCTAAATGCTCTTAATGAGAGAGCAAATCGTTTGCAAATTGCATTGAACCGAATCCAATTGCATTGCCATTTCATATAGTTAATAAATGAAGAAGAAGAAGAATATTTCGAAACCCAAAAACTACAATTGAAAAGCATTAAGAATTAAATATAATTCAATGAAATTGCGGAAATGAATGTGGTTAGAGTCTCGCTCTGTGTGTGTATGTGAGCGGAAGTGCAACAAAAGTGAAAAGTTTTTTATTTTCGGCTAAAAACACATATGAAAATTTTGGAAAACTGCAAAATGTTGGTGGAAAATGTACCCAAAATTTTAAGCGTCAATTAATAGACACAAAATGCTTTATCAAATGACCTCGACTCGACTCGACTGTGTACGTGTGTACGTGTGTATGTGTGTGTGTGTGTGTGTTTGGCAGCAACGGAAATGACAGCGCTGCAACGCTGCAGGAAGCAATAACCGAATTCAGTTACGTTGCACGGAAATGACACACGGCACGAAAATCAACCAGAGGATGAGCATGAAAATTGCGAATGAGAGAAAGAGCTGAAAGCTGCAGCTGTGTGAGTAAGCAACTATCTGCATATGTGTGTGTGTGTATGTGTGTGTGCTTGTCTGTTGCAACTAATATGCAAAAATTCTATTCTGATTTGAAATTTTTGCAATTTGCATGTTGCATCCTGAAAGTCAAGCACAGGAAAATCTCCTCAATAAACTAAAAGTTTACATAAATTCTACGCTTCAGCTGACCCAGAGACGGACAGATGAGTTATGCTCGATGGCCAAAATGTCAATGCATATTTATGAAACGTTTGTCAGAATGGCATACAAATGCGCTTTAGGATGTTGCCGTGTTGCATGAAGAGAAGATGGCAGATAAAAGTAAAAAAATAAAACATAAGGCAACTGGAAATTAAACTTTGATTTAAAAAGAAAACAAAAAAACTGGATAAAGCAGGTGAGCAAAAATACAATATAAGGCCATACTATATATAGCACAATATAAAGGAAAGACTTTGTCAAAGTGCAATGAACTAAGGCAAAGCATTTTTTGAGGTTTATTTGTTGCAATTATGTCAGAGAAAAAACGAAATGGACCGAGCAAATTCTTTTCTATGCCATTTTAAGCTTGAACATTTTTAATAATGAAAACGTAAATTTGTTAGTTTGTATATATGGATATTCATATATTGAAATTTGTTACTTTTTGTATGTGAATATTTATATATTTGATGGTAGGCATAGCCTCTGCCTAATCAACCAAAACATCATTTTAGCTCGCTCTCTCTGTCTCTCTCTGACCTGAAGGATTCCTTTCTTCTCGTTCTCTTCTTCTGGTGAGCGCCTTGAACTATTCGTGTGACGCTCTTTGCACAAGCATCATTCAGGGAGAGATCCGATTGTAAGTATGCTAAGAGCTAAT